TCTCTCCTAAATATCATCCTCTTGCTTGTGGTGCTTGTAATCCATTAGAGGTATTACATTTGTGACCCTAATCTCCTTGAAGATCGAAGGATTCTTACACCAATTGAAAGGTATCGTCTAAATTTCATATATTGTAGATCTCGTTTTTGATAGTACGCTAGATTAGGCTTTCATGTCTTGGATGAATTACATGTACAATAGAGAAACCTACATCCAAGCATTTAAGGTTTTGAATGAGCACAGATGATTGTTCTTTTGCATAAAACCCATCACAACGTCCCTTTGAACGTATCTAGTTGGGACATGTAACGCTCGTTTCAGGTATCAGTTACATTTTAGTATTTTAGGGTTTTAGACTGGGATTCGATGAGTTGGGAAGCTCCAACTCGTCGAGTAGAAATCATTTTGGATGTAGGATTTAGGATCTACTCGACGAGTAGACACTGTAAAGTGAAACCCTAATTTTCAAAACCATATTTAAGGAACTTATGGTTCATTTGTGGCCCTTCTCATCGTCCTTACTGTCCAGAGAGAAAAGCTAGTTGTGCTTTAGTGCTTTCTTGAGTGTGTGTGAGCATTGGAGAGTGAATCTTGTGCTCTTTGGAAGGAAACTCGAAGTTTCAAAGGATTGAAGTGAGGAGGAGGCTATAGATCCGACATCTTCCCTGTGTTAGCATCCATTTGGAGGTAAAAAGTCTTTACCTTGACCTCTTGTTTCTTAGATCTCCTCCCATGGGTGTTTAGTGCATTTTTAACCCATTTTGGAGGCACTTTTGGAGATTGGGCATGATTTGAAGTTGTGACTTCAGATCTGGACACCTTAGGCTTAATTAGGTCTAAAGATTGAAGATTTATCAAGCTTTGGCCTTTCTCCATGCCCTAAACCTCTTCATAAGCTTAGTTTTGAGTGTTTTAGCCTCTTGAGGCCTTGCATGGACGTAAAGTTGGCAATTTTATGTGGTAACTACACCCTAGGGGACTAGATCTGTAGTTTGGAGCTTTGGATTCAACTAGAAAGGACTAAACATGAAAGGGGCTGAAGGAACTCGACGAGTTGCATAGCCAACTCGACGAGTTGGGTAGGGTTTACTCGCCTTCTGGATTCTGAGTGAACTCGGCAGTGGGTGAGATGACTTGACGAGTTGATTGGAGTTTTCGGTTTCCTAGACACTGAAGAACTCGAGGAGTTACTCAAGTAACTCTGTGAGTTGACTCGATTTTTTGGTTTTCTGGACTCTAAAGGAACTCGATGAGTTTCTAGACGCACTCGATGAGTTGTGGTCAACATGGAATGTTGACCTTGACTTTGACCATGGTTGACCAAGTTTGAATATATGGGTATTTTTGGTATCTCGGGATTTTGACAACTAAATCACATGATGGTTGTAGATATTTGATTTGGAGCTGCAAGTTGGGACTTATCTTATCAGTTCAACATTTCTTGCGTGGTGAGTCTCCATACCATACGAATGGGTCGAAGTTACCAAGGCTGATCCATTTCATGATATATGGATTGTTAGTCGATTAGGCGATATGTCGCTACGACATTTGTATGGAAGTCCCCAGGGGTTCGCATGGCAGTATAAGGCCATGGAGGGGTTCCATGGCTTCCTAGTATGTTTAAATGTTTAACTCGTATGATATTTATGTGGTTAGTGTAGACCGTTTGGAGGTTCCCATGACAGGTATCCAAGACCACGTGGGGGTTCCAGTGGTGGCTAGTAAAGACCATGTGGGGGTTTCCCATGGCAGATAGTATAGACCACGTGGGGATTTCAGTGGCATTTGGTGTAATACCTTGGATGGTTTCCATGACATCTTTATGTGTTTGTATGCATGACTTATGTATTATGCATTGCTGATAGAGCTGTTATGGATTTGTGATTATGTGGATTGTGTGGGATATGCTTTGGGGAACACACTAAGCATTAGCTTATAGTTTTTTTGTTTGTTTCAGGTACTTCAGAGCCTAAGGGCAAGGGCCCGGCTCGATGGCGCGGCGTGCACTCTCTCCGAAAATTTTATTTGGGGACACTCTGATATATTGAATAAAATGTTTGATGTTATGAATTTTGAAAACAGTTGTAATTGAAATTTCATATTTATGGGAATGTTTTGGTGATCTAAAATTGAAAAAAAAAAGTATTTGGAAAATTTGGGATGTTACAAGTTGGTATCAGAGTCTTGGTTTGAGGGATTTGGGCACACTCTCGGGTGTGTCAGGACTCAAACTAAGGAAATGGTAAAATTGTTTTCCAAAATTTAAGTTAAAACTTCTTAAACTGGAAAAAGCAGAGTACAATACGTGTAATCGGCTGAGCTCAAGTAAGTAGTTCCCTAATATGTTACCCATGCTATACTGATACTTGGATTATGATAATCATCCGAATCTTGGTATGTGTATGCTTTCAAAATTGTATATGGTCAGGATCTTATTGACTTAGAATGCTTGATTTGGCCTTATTTCCTGCTCCTCGTTTTGTTGTGGTCCTAGAGTAGAGTCTGTTATTTGAAAGTCTATTTGATCACATTTCTATGTATAATTTGCATACATAAGGCAACCTGTTGTGATTGAGTTCTGGTTGATGTGGATGGAGAAAATCGTATGATATCCTAGGATTAGGCTATCTGGTAGACCATGAGATACGTTAGGACGAATTAGAGTTATCGGGTAGAGCCTTGGGAAAGTATAGGTAGGTGTGGAAGGTAGTAGTGAGCCTGTACTACTGGAAACACAGGAGATGTACCCAAACTAATACTAGATCTGGAAGCTCTAAGGAGATCCATTGTGGGCGGATTCCCATTTTGGATATCTTGATCATTTGTTTTATGGTATTTCGGATCAGGATGGTTGTGATGCGTCACGGAGCAGGGGGGTCAGGATTAGGATCCAGATCGGGCTATGATATTGAGCCCATTGATGAGAGGTTTGCGCGAGCTTATTGCATCTGATGTCACGAGAGGCATCCTTGACGCTACCCCAATGATTTTTGGGATAGTCAAGGAAGGGATGATGAAGATTTTGGAGAAGAGGCTCCGATATTTACGAGCCGATATTGCTACGGGCCAGGTCGGTACCCGAACTCCCTTGTTCAGGGAGTTTAAGGCGTGTGGAGCGTTTGAATTCTTCGGGGTTAGCGTCCCATAGCTAGTCGATGTGGGTGGTAGACATGGAGAATGCCCATCGTACGAGCTTTTTCCCCAATGTGGCAAAGGTAGGGTTCGCCTCGTGTATGCTGATGGACCGAGCTATGGAATGGTGGGATGAGGTGACTAGCCAGGTGAGAGCATCCATTGTGGCTGAGATGACATGGGTAGAGTTTTTCAGATGCTTTGATCTGGAGTTTGCACCATCTATTGAGGTGCAACAGTTAGTGAGTGAGTTTCATGAGCTCTAGCTGACTATTGAGACTATGGCGGAGATCACCACCAAGTTTTAGGAAGGAGCACTATTGATATCGCAGTACACTGTGGATGTGGATATGCGTAGGACGAGGTATCATTCCACGCTGAGGGATGATATCCGTGAGTTTGTGAGCTTTACAGGGTGCAAGACCTTGAATGAGATGATGGGGAAGGCCCGAGAGCAGGAGATGGAGTTGGAGCTTCACACCAAGCAAAATCTAGAGCAGGTACAGGTAGCGGTGGGTTAGGCTAAAAAGCCTAAGACCTTTGATTTTTCAGGTATGGGCCAGATGGGCCATGGCCGGTGTGCCAAGTGCGGGAAAACGCACGATGGAGTTTGACGAGGGACATGCCCAATATGTTATACATGTGGTCAGCTTGACACACAACTAGGGATTGCCCCACGAAGGGATTGATATGTTTTCACTGCAACCAAGCTGGCCATAAAAGGCCGATTGCTCGAGGTTGCAGGGAGGAGGCGAAGAAGTGGCGACTCCTGCGCCCGACACGATGAGGATCAATGATGGCCGCCCTGGCAAGGTGGAGGCTCCTGCGGTGAAGAGCCGCACATTTCGGTTGACTACCGAGGAGCACTACTAGAAAATAGACCTTTAATGATGCGTTTTTTATGACGCACACTGATTAATGATACGCAAAAGGACGTGCTCATAAAATTGTGTCATCTCTTCAAAAAATTTAAGGATTTATGTCACGCATTATTGCATGCCCTTAATTTAGTGTCTCAAGAAAAAAAAAATTAAAAACACGGAGGGCACTTTATCTTAAACGTAGATCGTCTGTACCTGTTGCTTTATAATTTTAAAGAAACGCGCTTTTAGTAGACAAGGGGGGAAACAAAATCCCCAAAATTTTGAAAACCCGCCTCGTTTTTTCTATCTTCTATCTATCTTTCATCCTTGTAATCCACTCTCCCATCTCTGATACTCTCTCCTCTAGATCTCCCTTCATTCTCTACCTTCCGTCTCTCTATAAACCCTAAGCCATCGCCACCTCCGTTCTCTCTAGCACGCGATAGGGTTTCCACCAGCGACCTTGGACTTGTTAAGTGATACCACAAAATTAATTGTTGTATTTAAATTCAACATTCAGGGGGAAGAGAGATTTCTTGAACGAAATTGATAACATCATCAGTAATCCCAACTGGATCAATCTCTTCAAGATCATCCGCTAGATCAAACTAGAGTAAATTGGAAGCGAATTTAGAAATTTCACTCATTGCTTTATTGGATGATAGCAGAGAGAGGAATGTGTTAAAGCTACCATCAATTTTAGCGAGATCGTTCTTTATGACTGTGTAAAAGGAAGTGTATGACGGTGAAGCCTCGCCGGAATCATCGGACTGCAGTGGCGAGGTTGAAGAAGAAGATTGTTGTGACGGCGGAGCAAGAAAAGAAGCAACGTTGTGTAGTTGACGGCCGATGGTTTGTGTGATGATGGAAAAGCTTGGTTTGGAAGTGGCGGTGGGGGACTGAGCAGGAGATTTTTCTTCGTCGGAGTTGAAGGGGTTGGGAAGAGAGAGAGAACAACAATTAGTACCAAGTTTGACCACTTTGAGGCATAAAATTCACAATCACATGAGTGAACAACACTTTTGGATGATTTATTTCATTTTGTTGCTTCCAAGATTGAAAGACGATGATTATATGCTTCTATCAACCCTAGAGATTGTACAAATACACGAGGTGCTTCTACAAAAACTGAGAAACAAGAATAATACATCCATGGAGTTAACAGAGGATACTAATGGAAATAAAAGTTTATCTGAAAAGGGTAGTGAGGTAAATAGCACTGAAGAAGCCAACAAGACTACTAAGAGTGAAACCCATGAGGATGATGTTTCTTTCAGTGATCCAGAAGATGAAGATACTGATCTTTCTAGTAGATTATCTGGTATTAGACAAAGAGAAAGTAGCAGGGTTTCTTCAGCTAGTGAAGCAAGTGATTGGGTTCGTCTTAATGAAAGAAAAGCAAACCAATCAAGCCATTATTCAGAAAGTGAAGACTCAAGTGATTGGCAAGCTGTAGGGGATGTTGATCTTTTATCCTAGTAAAGCTTATCTTCCTTAAATCTTACCTAATTGTTTCTTTTTATTTTGGGGAATTCCATGTTTTCTAAAGGGATGTGGTGAAATTGTTTGGATAGTTCATAAATCCACAATGTAAATGTTAAATCATTTTTAAAACAAATGATCCATCATACTCTGGGATGATAACTATTTTTTGTGTGTAACATGATTATTAAGATTATTTGGGCGGGCTAACATGTAAAATGGACACAGACATTGAGTCTTTAAACAATACTAGACTAATTTATTTATTTATTTTAATTATAAATCTGAAACTTGAATTTTGTTGGCATTTAGGTTTCTGATCTCAGGAAGAACCTGAACATAATAAATTCTGCAGTAGAACAAGCAAGCTATGATAGTTAATTAGTTATTAATTTATTGATATATATATATATATATATATATATATATATATATATATATATATATATATATATATATATATATGTGTGTGTGTAATTAATGTTGATGGTTTTTGTATCAGTTCAGGGGTTCTGCTAAATTGAAGAGAGTCATGCAAACAATTTTTTCATTAGGAAATGCATTGAATCAAGGGACTGCAAGAGGTGAGTTAAGTTTAACTTTGACTATGATCTTTGAATTTGACTTTTTATACTCACAAAAATAAAAAAATTGATTTTGTTTTAGGGTCTGTGATTAGGTTCAGGTTGGATAGCCTGTTGAAACTTACAGACACACGTGCAAGGAACAATAGAATGACATTTATGCATTATCTTTGTAAGGTGTTTATTTTATTTCTCTTCCTTTTATTTTAGTAAAAGTAAAAAGTAAAAATAAAATCACCTTGTTTTCAAATTTTGTGGATCATGGTGGATATGTGTGTAGGTGCTTGCTGACAAACTACCTGAAGTTCTTGATTTTTCCAAGGATCTTCAAAGTTTGGAACCTGCAGCAAAGGTATATTCTAGTTTAATCTTCTGCAAATTTTTAGCAATGTTTTTTTTAATGTTTAATTATGTTGATTATTTCTTTCTAGATGCAGTTCAAATACTTGGCAGAGGAAATGCAAGCTATTACCAAAGGATTAGAGAAAGTTGTCCAAGAATTGTCAACATTAATGCTGCATTAGTTGGTTCATTCTGGTGCTTATTTTGATATATGCAAATTCTTCTACAAAATAAGTTATATAAGTTCAAAGTGTAGTCTTAATATTTTTTTCTATTCCAACAGTTTTAACTATTACTATATGTGGAACATTACAAACATTTGCAGAATGTGTAGTGCTAAAGGAATGAATATGTTGGGAAAATGCCAACATTGAACCATGGAGTTATTCTTTATTTCTTTTAGATCACTCATTAAATGTAATTTTTTTGTTTTATAATGTGATAGGAAAAACATAGGATCAACAGTTTGGAGCTTCCTCTAATTCAGCATACACAGTTGCCTGATCTGGATAAACTTGTTTCCTTATTGAGTGGTAACATGTGTTCAGGTTGGTTTTAGCTTTCTAATATAGTGTTCCTTCTGATGCAATCATGGCTCATTCCATCACAACAGAAAACAAAATTGTTTGTTTTGGGGGATATTTGCATAAAAACCCTAGAGTTTTTCAGAAGTATAAGATTTTACCCTAACATCACTTTTTGGTGGGTTTAGAGGGTGCTGCTTTCCCATAAACACCAACCTCTGAACTCAAGAACCAGATAAATTAGAAAAGGGTATAATGGGAAAACCAATATTTTTTTTTATTTGGGATTGCTTCTTCATATATTTTTTTTTAATGAACAAAAGGGTATAATGGGAAAATTAATATCTGGTTTTGAAGTACTTGCATGATATTTTAAGTGTTACATGTCTCAAAGTAGATGCATTTTTTAATTGTTACATGTCTAATATCGAAAGCTGAATATGTCTTCTCCATTGATCTTACTGGAATATTATTTCCTTTAGTGTAATTCTTCTTTAACCCTTGCTAAGGCAATGCTGTTACAGTATGGTGCCAATATAAATGTCAGTTTTTCTTGCCCAACATGATCATCTCTTTATTTTATAGGTGAGAGAGGATTAAAACAAAGGAATCTTATAGAATATAATGTTAAAAACATTGATGAAGTCCTCAAGCTTCTATTGCAGGTATGTCAATATAGTGAAACTTTAAACTTTGTTACTACTTATTTATGATTATATCATATTTAAAATTAGTTTGCATGCTTTATTAGGGTGCTGCAAATAGGAAAAAGGCAGGAACAGATATGAACATTGTGTCAATATAGGGTAAAGGATTTCGTGACTCACCTTTGGTTTGGAAGGTTAAATTTGGTAGACGTGGTTGGTTCTAAAAGCTAATTTGATAGCTTAAACCATCTTATATATAAGTTTTGTCTAGATTTTCAACATTTTCAATGTTGTGATTCAGAAAAGGCTTCACTAGTCTCGTGTCCTGTAGTCAAATTTTGAGCAATTTTCAACATCTGATAGGAATAATACATTCATAAATTTTCAGAGATAAAGTACGTGTATGCAATTGCTGAGAAGTTTACATACAAGTATGAACAATGTAGTATGTTTTACTGTAGACTTTCATATGTTTGCAGATGATAAAGCAAAAAATGGGTCAAGTATTCAACAAAGTGGGGAGACCAAATTCTACTAGATTCTCTTCTCAACCTGTCTAATGAAGATGATATTCTTTTCATGGATGTAGATGTGAAGGATCATATGTAATTCCTGGTGTTCAAGATGATGTGGCATCAACATCAGTATCACAGATAGAATTTGTTCAGCTTACAGAAGGGCATATTATTTTCACTTCGAACAGGGCGGATTTACTATAGATGCAATCAGTTCATGTAAGTTAAAATTCTAAATTTACTGTAGAGTTATTAGATAATTATTATTATCTAGTTAGTTAGGAATTTCTTCCTGATTCTTATCTTTCCCCTGTTGTAGATGGTCTTCTATGGTTCATAAATGAACTAGGCACTTCGTTTTTAACATAGCTTATTTCTTATCACTTGACATAAAAAATTGAAGTGTGTGTGTATATATATATATATATATATATATATATATATATATATATATATATATATATATATATATATTAGTAATTATGGAATTAGGTAGCTATTTTATGTGAAAAAAATGTGGATGGGTTGGTTGGAGGCCTGCCTGACTACTTGTTGGCTTTTGTAACCCGCAAGCAATCATGGATTAGGGTTTCGTGAATAGAAACAGGGAAAAATGGGCATGTAAAAATGTTGGTTTTGATGGTATGCAATCACATTCCACTTTTAATTTCTTGCTTTTCACAATGATTATATATATATATATATATATATATATATATATATATATATATATATATATATATATATATATTATAGTTTACAAACTGTAGAATGTGTTCAGTAGTGAATCTCATAGGGACAAAATGGTAAATTTGCAGGTGGTTCAATCAATGTCATTTAGTAATATTTGGAATTACAGCCTTTGTATGTTTGACTAAAACCTTCTAATTTTGTTTACTTTTTAACTTTGTTTTTGGTTTCATTTAGTAATAAAGTATCAAATATCAATGGTTATGTGGTAGTAATCCTTCTGAGTGGGTGTTTGTTGGGATGCTTCTTTCAATGTCATTAACAACAGTGGTAAGTAAAATCTAACTATTATGAAAATCTTTTGCTTAAACCTACCTTATTGACCTGTAGCTGATTAAACATTAATTTAATTATGCAGGTTTTGAAGTTTTTGATGGAAAAGAATAGTGTTAATGTTCTTCAGAGGAAAGTATGTTGGTAGTTTAGGAAATTTGGCTAATAATTTAGTTAATTATATAAAAAATGTTGAAATATTACATTTGTCTACTATTGGAATGATTATTTGATGTATTACATTTGTCTACTATTGAATGATTATTTGTGTGACATTAACTTTTGTGCAATGTATTGTATCTTTTGTATTATGAGACATGAAATGCAAATTTAATTTGAAAATCAGTAAATCTATAAATAATTTTTTTTAAAATAAATTTAAAATTACGATACGCAAAAATCTGTGTCGTCTTCATTTACGACATGGCCTTACTTGACAGGGGTTTTCTTGATACGCATTGTGTGTCATTAACACGCGTTTCGTAAGGTTACGACACGCGAATGCGTGTCGTCTTCCTTTATGACAGAGCCTTCATTGATACACATTACGTGTCGTAAACGCGCGTCGGAATTGCGCGTCGTAAATGAGTGTCGTAGACGCGCATCGTCTATAGATGACGCGCAAAAGCGCGTCGTCTCTCTTTATTACATGGCCTTCCTTGATGCGCATTTGCTCGTCGTCTGAGCCTTTTACAATGCACAATGAGCATCGTAAAAGGCTGTTTTTCTAGTAGTGGAGGATCGGGCAGCGCCAGACGTCGTGGCGGGTACGTAATTTATCTTATGCTTGATATTTATTTGTTATGCTTAAGTATATAAGTACTCTTATATAGGGACCTTTACGGTCAATGGTATGTCGGTCCATGTTCTTCTTAATTCGGGGGCTACCCGATCATTTGTGTCTCTTCGGCTCAGCAAGAAGTATAGGGATGCTCTGAGGATGTTGGATTCCCTGCTAGAGGTTTAGATTGCGTATGACCACACCTTGAGTGCGGTAAGGGTATATAAGGGTTGCATCTTGAATATGTTTAGGGAGAGGTTTAGTGTTGATCTAGTTCTAATACCGTTGCGAGGGCTGAAGGTGATTGTTGGAATGGACTGGCTGGGGGCCAATGGGGCCATGATAGATTTTGAGAGCCAATTGGTGAGAGTTCGAACGCCAAGTGGGGGAGAACTTATTATTCCTGGGGAGAGGGCCTCGCATGGGCCAAATCATTGCTCAGTTGCGTTGGCTAGGAGACTTCTCCATCAGGGATGTTCATTATTCTTGGCGTATGTCTCGGATACAAGGGTTAAGGCCCCGACAGATTTGGGAAGTGTACCGGTTATACAGGATTATCGGGATATCATTCCCGAGGAGTTGTCTGGGGTGCCTCTGGAGAGGCAAGTGGAGTTTCGCATTGATTTGGTATTGGGTGCCACTCTGATAGCTAAAGCACCATACCGGCTAGATTCGCCCGAGATGCAGGAGTTGCTTCGCAACTTTAGGAGTTGCTAGACCGAGGGTTTATTCGTCCGAGTAGTTCCTCGCGGGGAGCATCGATTCTATTCGTGAAGAAGAAGGACAGCTCACACAGGATGTACATTGACTATCAGAAGTTGAAAAACTTAACGGTGAAGAACCATTATCCACTCCCGAGGATCGATCATTTGTTCGATCAGCTGCAGGGTGCGTCTTGTTTTTCCAAGATTCATCTTCAGTTAGGGTATCATCAGATAAGGATTAGGGCTAAGGATATACCAAAGACAACTTTCAAGACACAATATGGACACTATGAGTTTGTGGTGATGCCACTCGGACTTACCAATTCCGCAACAACATACATAGATCTCATGAACACGGTGTGTAGTGATGTTGGATCGGTTGGTGATTGTTTTCATTGATGATATCCTGGTCAATTCTAAGACCAAGGAGCAGAACGAGCTGCATCTGAGGGATGTATTAGACACATTAAGGATGGAAAGGAGTTATGCCAAGTTCTAAAAGTGTGATTTCTGGTTTTGAGAGGCGTAGTTTTAGGGGCACATCATCAACCAGGAGGGCATTTCGGTTGATCCAGCCAAGGTTGAGGCGGTGATGCGGTGGGAAGTATCGAAGAATGCATCTGATATCCATAGCTTCTTGGGTTTAGCAGGGTATTATCGGAGATTCATTTAGGATTTCTCCAAGATCTCCGTGCCTTTGACCCGTTTGACCAAAAAGAAAGTGAATTTCCAGGGGGGCGGCCGGACCAGCAATTGTCTTTCGAGACCTTGAGATAGAGGTTACGTGAGGCCCCGATTCTGGTACTACCCATGGGGCTGGATGATTTGGTAGTATATTGTGATGCGTCGATCTCTTGGATAGGGGTGGTACTGATGCAGAGGGGGCATGTGACAGCACACTCCTCGAGGTAGTTGAAGAATCGTAAGGCAAATTACCCCACTCACAAACTAGAATTTGGGGCAGTAGTGTTTGATATCAAAATCTGGAGGCATTACTTGTATGGAGTACGATGCACCATTTTTGTTGACTACAAAAGTTTGAAGTATTTGATGGATCAGCAGAACCTCAACATGAGACAGAGAAGGTGGTTGGATGTACTGAAAGATTATGACTGTAAGATCTTGTACCATCCAGAGAAGGCCAATGTGGTGGCCGATCCGATCGGAAACATTTATTTAAGGACGACGGTGGTCTCTCCACTATTAATATGATCAAGAAGGCTCAAGTGGAGGGTTTGAAGAGAGAAAATTGGAAGTTAGAGCCGATTCAGGGCCATATCCTCTTGTTTGTTTGGGATGGTCGAGGTCTTTTGACACAGTGTGATCGGGTGTGGGTTCCGGCATCTGAGGAAGTGAGATAGAAGATATTGGAAGAGGCATACAAGTCCACATTCTCTATACATCCCGGGGCTACAAAAATGTATAGCGATCTGAGTCTGAGCTACTGGTGGCCCTGCATGAAGCAGGAGATCTCCTAGTTTGTGGAGTGGTGCTTGACCTGCAGGAAGGTCAAGGCTGAACATCAACGACCTCATGCCAAGGTTCATCCGCTACCCTTTCCTATGTGGAAGTGGGAAGAGATCACTATGGACTTCATCATGAAGTTACCGAGAACAGCGAAGGGTGTGGATGCCAAATGGGTCATTGTGGACAGATTGACAAAGAGCACCCATTTTATTCCTATCTTCAAGAGTATATCTTCTGCAAAATTAGAAGATATGTATGTACAAGAGGTTGTGGTTAGGCACGGGGTGCCGGTGTCAGTGGTCTTTGACTGGGAGGTTCGATTTACATCCAGGTTTTGGCGGAAGTTCCACGAAGACTTGGGAACTTAGTTACACTTTAGCACTACATACCACGCTCAGACATATGGCCAGAGCGATCAGACGATTTAGATGCTCGAGGATATGCTACGGGCATGCATATTGGACTTTAGAGGGAGTTGGGATACATACCTCCCACTAGAAGAGTTTTCATATAAAAATAGTTATCATGCTAGTATCGACCGACCCCCATTCGAGATGTTGTATGGTTGGAGGTGTAGGACCCCAGTTTGTTGGGTTGAAGTTGGCCACCGAGTCACCTGAAGCACCGAAGTGGTGCTTAAGACCACCAAGTTGTTCCATCAGGTGTAC